TCCCATTTCAATCCCAATATTGTGGACTTTTTTTTTTTTGAGGGTGTGGAGCCAGAAAGTGGGTGCCTATTTCAAAATCTTGTCCTGAAGAAAAAAAGAAAAGAAAAGAAAAGAAAGATAGAGAAAAAGATAAAGGGCCCTTGATGAGGGGTTCCTTCTCCTTTTGAACCCTCATATAGCTTGCAATGATATAATATGGATGATGCTCCACATCGAAAAAAAAGTCTCGAGAGGACCCAGAATATGAAGTAGGGTGTCGGCATTGAGAGATGCGTGATTGTGATTGATTTCAAAGATGAACTAATTGCGCGGGTTCCATGTGGCTCGCTCGAGTCGAATCATGACCGAACGAGGTAATTAATGGTTTAGGTCTAGTTAGAAATGTTCTTCTTCTTCTTACAACAATGATGCTTGTGCTAGGTGATTATTGTAGTTGGTAAAAGTGTGTTGTAAAGTGTGTGTGTGTGTTTTTTTTTTTAACTTTGATTTATGAGTGAATCTTCTATCCCCTTTTTTTCTTCATGGATAATTTCTAGAGACTAATAATGATTGTTATATAGGATTCATGATCAGCAATGTTGACAATTGGTTATATGGTTGTGGTTGTTTTGGTAGTTTGACTATGGTGAGGGGTTTGATGTGTTATGCTGCAGTTTTATCTCATCTAGTTTAAGGGGTTGTTTGGTTGGGGGAAAAAGGAGGGGAGGGGAGGGGAGGGGAGGACATTTTTTACTTTCCCCTTGTTTGGTTGGGAATTTGGGGTAGGAGGGGAAGGAAAATTTTAAGTTAAAATTCCCTCCCCTCCCCATTTTTGCTCCCCTCCAAAAGTGGGGGAATTTGGAGGGGAGGGAAAATTTTAATACATTATATTACAATATTACCCTTATTACATAATATGTAAGTTTTTATTTATAACATCATTAAGGATATATTTGTCATTTTAACATTATTTTCCCTCCCCTTTCATTTTCTTACCAAACAAGGTTTACTATTTTCCCTCCTCTCCCCTACTATAAAATCCCTCCAAACAAGGTAAAATTACTTTACATCACCTTCCCTCCCCTCCCCTTCCTTCCATTAAAATCCCTCCCCTCCCCTCCCCTCAGTTGAACCAAACATAGCCTAAGTGTTTGAGCTTCAAATTAATAGTAATTACAACCGGTTTTGCTTAAACCAAAAATATTGGTTATTTTACTTATAAAAATAAGAACTGGAGAAAGATTTTTAGGTTATCTCTAGTCCTCATTTGTACTCTAGTGCGGAGTTCACTATATTTTAGAATAGAATTAAATAAAAATTAAGTTTTGTCTCCAAATGCTAGCACTACATTTTACTCCACGATTCATTTTTCTTTTTCTTTTTATTATTTTAAATTATTTTAATATCACAAATATAATTTAATTAGATATATTGTTTTACACATATTTAATTATTTAAATTATTATCATTATATAATTAATAAATATAAATAGTACAACAATATTTATATAAAGATTATATTATATACTAAAACATGTATCAAGTATTTACTAAAATATTAACTAAGACATAAAAGAGATTTCAATTCATAATGTAAGTCATTGATAATAACTTACTTCTGTTAATCTTGATCGTCAAACAATCTACCACATTTTTTTTTCTATTATAAATAAATTTGTTAACTGAAGATGTGTATTATGTTGAAAACAATTATTGTAAATTTTTATGCACATTATACCTAAATTTACTAAAATTATATACACATCATATCTAAATTTACCAATAATATTACATTACAAGACATAAACATACAATGCTGACATGAGCAGAGTAGCGTCCCAAATTTTGCACAATCTTTAGCATAAGTGCAGACATATAATTAGACTAGTCATCAAACCGACTTTGATATAGATTTCGTGCTTGTTCGAGCCAAATTTTGCACAATCACAGACTTATAATTAGACTGTTATCAAACCGACTTTGATATAGATTCAACGGCTTATGAACTAATTGGATCATTTGTTATTTACTAATTATTTAAATATTAAATAATGCATGTTTTTAATAAAAATATCACTAATTAAATATGTGGATACTTTAAAAACATGCAAATGATGTAAATAATTATTATAATAAATATTATTAATATATTTAAAAATATTAAAGCTAAATAAAATTAAGACAAGTATCTATTAATTTGTCTATTTTTTTTTTCTTAAAGAAAAAAAAAAGGAAAGATGTCAAATTTTTAACTTCCGTAAAGATTGTAATTTTTTCAACATAAAAAAGTGCACATTGAACATAGCATCTCAAACCGTATGTGAATTGTAAGATTATAGAAGCCATCCGATAAAAAATTTCTCCAACAATCACTTTCCTAGTTCTATTTGTAATGATGTGCATGAACGAGACGCAATAATTCTAGAAGTCCTTCTAGACCTGATGAGTTATTTTTTTACCCTTATTTATAATACAAAATAAATGGATAATTACGCTATAATTCATGCTCACGGTTGGAGATTCTCTTAGCATATCAGACCCGTCTTGTTGTTCGATTATTTATTTTAAAACGAAATGGTAAAATGGTGTATAACGTGTAAACTGTCAAATTAAAATAGTTGTCATATATATATATATATATATAAATGTATTTTTTTTATTATTATTATTTTTTTTTTTTGGCAAGTTTTAAAATGTTTGTGGTATGTTTGGGCAACTAGGCCATTGCAAATGTCGCATGCAAGTAGTGGTATTTTTTTTTCTTTCATTATATTCTATATATAGTTAGTGTAGGTCTTTGTTGCTAAATAAAAATTCGAATCATCAAACGCCTAAAACATTCTTCACCTAAACATAACTCACTCAAGTAATGCCACGCTGCAAGCAAAGTTATTAATGAGAAACACAAATAGGTGGACAGCAGTAGTTAAGTTCCCATGAAATATAAACCGAAAATATTAATATTTATTTTCTTGCATGAGACTACCAAACCGTAATTTTAACAAAATTGTATACTTATGCTACGAAACGGTTTTTGTTCATTTTTTAAAATGTAACATTCTAATTTAGAAGTACGCATATGTATTAATAAAAAAAAGTATATCCAACAGTTAAAATCTGTGTAATATATAGTAGTCTTGCCGGTTTATATTTTAGTTACCATTTAGAATATAAAATGCCTAGCTTAGTAATTTTAATTACATTATTTTCTGCTCATATTTGAATTTTATATTTAAAAAAAAAAAAAGAAAAAAAAAATATGAATCCACATCCATTTGGCTCAATGATGGATCTCATCAGACTCATCACCCACTAATAAGGTGAAGTTGAAAACAGAGCAAAAAAATCAATCAGTGGTTGCCTTTATTGTGAGGTGAGAGAGTATAAATAAAAGTAGTAGTATAATAGAAATAGGAGTAGAGTATTATTATTATTATTATTATTATTGTTATTATTATTATTATTGTGAGGTGAGAGAGTATAAATAAAAGTAGTAGTATAATAGAAATAGGAGTAGAGTATTATTATTATTATTATTATTATTATTATTATTATTATTATTATAGTATAATAGAAATAGGAGTAGAGTATTATTATTATTATTATTATTATTATTATTATTATTATTATTATTCCTTTGGCTTTATGCTATCTAATTACCCATTTTAGTGGACAGACATAAATTCTTGTCGGCAAGCATTAGTTACATAATAAGTTGTCAAAACAGACAACAATTTTTTTTTTTATTTTTAAATAAGTGTGATAACATTGACTACTTACCTACTGCAAATTATACACCCACACAATAAACAGGGGAAAAAAATAATAATAATAGTAATTATTAAAATATTCGCATGTGAGTTGTCCCACATTGTTTATATAGAGAAAATAAACCTAATTTATAAGTTTAATGAGCTACTCCTCCTTCCACCAATTGGTTTTGAGCTTGGCTGCTTGGGCTTCATCTCAACTTTCCATGCTTATGGTGCGCTTAACGTGCGTGGGGTCCCACCTGTTTGTTTTCCTCGTTTCTTACATGGTATTAGAGTCGGTTCTTTTAGGACCGTGCAATGACGTACCCGTTTTCCCCCATGTACCCATTTTTGTCCGTGTTTTCCCCGTTTTTTACATGGTATCAGAGTCGGTTCTTTTAGAACCGTGCAATAACGTACCCGTTTTCTTCTACGTACCTATTTTTGTCTATGTTTCTTACATGATATCAGAGCCAGTTCTATTGGGACCGTCATTTATCCGTGTTTCTTACATGGTATCAGAGCCGGTTCTATTAGGACAATGCGATGACGTACCCGTTTATGGGAGCCTGTTTCTAGTAGGGTTTGAGCACCAACTCCGTATATGGGTTTGAGCTTTCTTATTAAGGACTCACAACAAGTGAGAGACGTAATAGAATATTCACTTGTCAGTTGTCTCACATTGTTTATATAAGGAAAATATGTTTAATTTATAAGTCTAATAGGCTAGTCCTCATTCCACCAATTCGTTTTGGGATGGAAACTCACTTGGGATTCATCTGAGTTTTCTCTGTTTATGATGCACTTCACGTGCGAGGGATCGCACGCGATTTTCCCCGTTTTTTACAGTAATAATAACAGAAATATTATTAGGTGGGCAAATTTTAATTTATTTTTTTTCAAGAGATTGTACAATTTTCTGGAAGTGCTTATGCTTGATTACACCCCCACTTTTAAAAAATGGTAAAGCTAAAATAAAGATAAAGGGGAGTATAATGATGAATGTAGGAGACAATCCATCTTTTTGTCAAGAATCTTTC